TTATACAAAGTAAAAGAGAGGACTGATTCTTTACAGCTTTTGAAACATGAGAATACACATATTTTTATTTTAACCCATTACTGGTTCAGTTCACTTTGATTCGTAACTGTTTTTGATAACCTGAAAATGGATTTCCCATTTAAATGCAGTAAAAATTAACACAAATCAGACTATTGCTTGCTTCGATTGAACAAAAATAACCCACTCAAAAAATTACACAAATGCTGAGTTGTTGTAACCCGATGTTGGGTCAAATATGATTCGGTTAAGAAGTGTAATTTAAAAGTAACTGGAAAAAGTTAACCAACAACCCAGCTTTTTAAGAGTGTAGACAACCACTAGCTGAGTTGTTGATTGACAAAAAAATAATTATAATAATTAAATAAAATAATTTAAGATTTCAAAGTTAGATATTGCCTAATAATATAAGCTAGTTTGGCATTCTGTCCAGGGAGAGAACTTTAAGCTAGGAGATAATTGAGCCCAGGGGTCCTGCCTAGTCAAAATCATGTAAAGGGGTATGAGATCAGGTAGTTCCTGAGAGCTCCTCCTGGTTATAAAAAAAATAAAATAAAATATGTTAAAAAACGAGGGACGATTGTGGGGGGTGAGGCGGGTGTCTTCAGAAAATGAAAATAAGGGAGTAGTTTTAGACAGGCTAGTTATAGTGAGTTTTGATTAATCTGATTGGCTTCCAAATGATTGCGGATTGGAGACCAGCCGCAATCATCACATTCTCCTCTCGAAATTAGTGTGTGAAACTTCTCTTTGACTCAGATGTTAAAGTATCGTTTTAGAAATTATTACACAGATTGCATAGTAAGTTCTAAATAACCAAGCCATTCAAGTTATTAGAAGGGGAGTCTATACTGCTCAGTGAGCGCCATCTTTCAGATGAGACGTTACAGCAGAGGTCCCGACTCTGTGGGCGTTAAAAACCCCAAAAAAGTAGGGGTTTAACCCTGGCATCCTGGGTACATTTGCCCACTGGCCTCTGTTCATCATGACCTCCTAACCATCCCCATATCATTATTGGCTTCATCACTCTGTCTCCAATCAGCTGGTGTGTGGTCTGGCACAATATGTCTGCCATCGCTTCATCCAGGTGGATGCTGCACACTGGAGGAGGATAAGTAGATTCCCTCAAAAAATGTGTAAAGCACTTTGAGTGTTTAGAAAAATACTATATAAATACAAGGATTTATTATTATTACTGGATAGGATTAGTTTAATAATTGGACTTGTCTTGGTGTTTGTCTCTAAATCATTGTAAGAACCAACTCAAAAGATTTATTCATTTTTTCCAACGAGTTGCATTTTTGATTTACGAGAAAAACAATCTCACACTAGCTATTTAGCTGTATTAAAAGGTATAATTTAAAGGTATAATTAAAAGGTATTATCATTTAACCACACCTTCATTGGTCACAAACAGAATAAAATGTATTTCTTGCTTTGAACTTGCTTGAAAAATGGTAGCCATTGACTTCCATATAGCATCCGTTTTCCCTATAGATTCCACTAACATTCTTCAAAATATCTTCTTTTGTGTTCAACAAAAGAAAGAAACAAATGTTTGGAACTACTTCAGGGGGAGTATCATTTTATTTTTGGCTGAACAATCCCTTTAAACCAGTGTCAGATTATGGTTATTAGATTAGGTTATATTTTCTTCTCTCGTTGTAAGAACGAACTCAAATATTGACAAACCCAACAGTGATGGATGGAAGAACCCGCACTAAAAAACAGATTGCATGACTATTTTCTTCATCTAATTCTCAAAGTGCAAAAGTCGGAAAGAACAACCATGACAGTTTTGAACCATTTCAAAGAAATTAAATCACTATTATTATTATATGGAGTCCAACAGCAGCCTTGAAACCTGCTATTTTCTTTGAGTTGATGATTGAGCTTAATGCGTATTCAAAAAGACAGACATTACACCTTTATAATCTCAATGAAAGGGCTCGGAAAAAGCACAAGGCCACTCAATGAAAGGGCAAAAACACAAGGCCACAGTTTCAATTAAATTTTCATTACATCTATTTTACACCTGTTTTTTTTTTTTTTTTTTTTTAGAAAAGATGGTTTTCTAAAACTAGGAAGGGAAATTCGTGACACATATTTGAGCATCAAAACGTGCAGAAATTAAACTGACATTTGGAAATACCAAGCGAAATCATAGCTGCGAACAGTCACTCGACTAGCAGCCATTTTCACAGCTGTCTCCAGACGCCCACGACCCGACGCCTGCTGCCAGAGACACTCAAAATGAAAGACTTTGGTGCACAAATGTGTGTGGCGATCTGCAGTTCACACTTTGCTGGTTGTCAAGGAGAGTTTACCATCGCTGCTTCATTTATTTTCGTGGAACGGTTTAAAAGAAAATGTATTTCAGTCACAGGAAAACATAATTGGTGAAAGAAAACTAATTATAAATCTGCGCTTGACAGAAAAAGCAGGAAGGAGGGGAGGAAACCAAACAGGCTAAAGCAAAATTTGTCTTTTATTTTCATTCGGCTCTTCAAAATCATGTTTACATTGAAAAATAGAGTAATGTACAACCCACTACATTGTATTTTAATGTGCATCTAGTATGTGAAAAGCAAACACTGCTCTAACATTGTTAGATTTTCTTTACACACTGCTCCAAAAATATATATATATGTATATTTTTTTTCCATAAGCAAGATAGTAGTTTACATCATGTATATGTTAAAGAGGTAGAATACTTCAATCAAATAAGATTCTCCCAAAACGTATATATACACATACATTATTCATAACACCGTCTGGAATGTACAGAGTGCTACATGGGCTAAAATACGCAGATACAGAACAGTCAAATCAGCTACAATTGCATAAAAATGGAGTATTTGTTCAAATACATGTGGGCTGGTTTAACCCAAAAATGAACCGTCATCATTTACTCGCCTAAAATAAACATACATGACTTATAATTTTCTCAGTGGAACACAAAAGATGCTAGACAAAGTGTTTGAGCTGCTTTTTATTTCATTAAATGAAACGAATAGGGCTGTTGAGGTCCAAATGTAAATGAGTACATTAACTTTGTCATCACAATCAACTGGTTTGTCACATTTCAATAGATTTATATAATAACGAAGACGTAAAATTGCTTTACATGATTAAAAATAATAATAAAAATGATAATAAAACTGTTGTAATTTGCACAGAAGCTTGGCCTCTGCTGTAGCCAGATTTGATGACATTTCTATTAAGTTTCCCAGTTTCACATTTGGATCAAGCTGTTTTAATTAGAATTTTTTTTTTAAATAATGAAAAGCTTTTATAAAATAAATGACTGGAATAGCGATTACTTCATTATTTTCACACCAAGTACATTTTAAAGCAATAAAATTTCATAAAATGTCTTTTAAACTAAATTAACCCAGTATTTTTATGATACATCTGAAGTTCAACAGTCCCATTTTGTAAAAAGAGCTCAGTAAATTTGCACATTATTTTGTGTTTCACAAACGAAATAAATTCAAGTTGAATTGACTCTACTGTGCTTTTTTGGTGATGTATATAAATAATCAAAAGGTTTTTCTTTCCATAAATCTGCTGGTAAACCTACACAAACACTGTTTGATGAATTGTTTGCACATAACCGTAAACATCCTAAATCAGGGATGGCCAACCCTGTTCCTGGAGAGCCACCTTCCTGCAGATTTCAGTTGCAACTTATATCAAACACACCTGCCTGTAATTATCATGTGGTGTTCAGGTCCTAATTAATTGGTTCAGGTGTGTTTGATATAGGTAGCAACTGAAATCTGCAGGATGGTGGCTCTCCAGGAACAGGATTGGCCACCCCTGTCCTAAATGAACCGAATTTAAAGTCGTATTAAGCTGTACATTCATTATGTGCACTAACATGAAGGATTTTGTAATTCACATCATCTCCTAAACCCAAGCTCTTGTACTGTAAGAGTTTTTCTCAACCACGTCCCACCAGCTCCATGTCTCCTTAATCAAACACACCTGATTCAGATGACCAGCTTATCAGCAGAGACAGTAAGATCTGTAATGGGTATGACAGACAAAGGAGGCATGCAAAACATGCAGTGTTGGTGGAACGTGGTTGAGAAACACTGCCGTAATAGAAAGTTGCAGCTTTTGATTGAGCTATTTCTTCATATGCTTTATCATTCATATTTCGCAGAAAATGCTGGCTAATAAAACCAACTCGTACATGAGATGTTATATTTCAGAAGTGCTGGTGAAAGGACACTCGTGAAGATGAAGCGTTTTCAACAGCCCTTAAAGCTTTTTAAAAGCTCAGATCTGAATTAGTTTGATAATAACACGCATTATGATGTCACAACGACACAGAAAAATATGTAAAATAAAAAGGAGTCCACCCTGAGTCCTACTCAACAAACAAAGCCCTTCATTTTCCAGAGAGGAAAAAATAAAGTTTGCTTGCAAATCGTGGTCGTGGTCTCATTAGCCGTCCACTGTTGCGTGGAGACGAGTCCACCTTAGACCTCAAATGAAGAAAACACAACACTCTTTAATCGCTTCTGCTGCCCAAAAATCCCCTTTGAAGGCGACACATAGCTGTCAAACCATTTTGCACCTTTCAAAAATAGCCCTCGCACTTGATATGTTACTCGGTAAATACTCGAGAGAGACAAAAACGTGACATTTACGTCAGAGCAAATTCCCTAATCCACAGATACACTAATATACCAAACAAACCTTGATGCTGAGCATAAGAATTGTAGATAAAATAGTACAAAAATCATTTAAAAATATTGTTCAGGACATCTATGTATGTTAATACATGGAAAATCTCCTTTTAGAAAAAAATAAAAATAAAAAATAAAAGGACGGCCAAGGCGAGTTTGTTATTTAACAGCTGGCAGCAGACTCCAGATCAGCCCTCGCAAGGTTGACCGTACACCAGTCTCAAAAGTGTCTCCTTTCAGCTTCATTCCCCGAATTGGTGGTCACAGTGAAGGCGCCACGGGTTAGTGGAAAATGGCGGCTTTAGTACTGAACATACTCCGACTGAAGGGACTGCAAAAAAGAGAGAGGGGGGGGGGGAATAAAATGATTACAATGCTGAACGCAATTACAGAAAATTACATGGCAGAGGGTAGTTAAATAATAGTCTAAAAAGCCAACCTGAGACATTACTATCGCAGCCCTGGCTGATGTAAATGAGGATGAAGTCAAAGCTTAGAGAGGAAATGAATTTGCATTTAATGTGTGTGTGAGTGTGTGTGTGTGTGAGGGGGGGAGACTTTGTGCAGAAAAAGGGCCACTTGGGTTAGAAGACGCAGGTGTACAACATGCTAATTATTCATAACTGCTCAACAGGGGTGGAGGTTCATAAAAAAAAAAAGTGTACAGCAGACAAACGTTAAGCAAAAAGCATTGTGTCCCGTTTTGCGTCATCGATCTACAAATGTATTATCAGCATTCAATTGTTGCGCATGGTAGCTACAACAACATCTGATAGATATACACTGGTGGATATACGCCTAGAACTATTTAGAAGTGTGTACGCAATTAAACATTGTTTGAGCTTTCCATGTTCGTTTGTGCACATTACAAGTGCACTCAATCTGGAGACACGTGGTGAAATATTCGCTGGCATACGAGCTTATACACAATTTTTTTACTCATCAGGAGAAGTCGCATGGAAGTCGTTGAAGCTCATATGGTTGGACCTTGAGATACTGTAGGAAGTTAAGAGCGTCATGAGCCCCTGGGCCCAGTTTTTCAAAGGTAATCCACTGGGGTTTTAGATCACAGATTGGATCAAATCTTAGAAATGGGTTTTTCCAATCTTACATTTGATTCAGATCAAACCTGTCCTTTGGGTTATTTAAAACATTGAACTCTGATTAGCATCTATTTGATCCAAAAGAACAGGATTATCCTGATCCCATCAGAACGGTGGATTCAGTTGTGATTCTTTTTTAACCAAATAAAATTTTTTCAATTATCACAAACTTAATGGTTACTGATAATATATAAATTCTTTCAAATTTGAAGCCTATATGAAGGATATCGCATATAATGACAAATGGTAAACAACAACAAAACAACATGAAAGCAGTATAGTATTAATACAAACTAAAAAACGTAAAATTTTGCATGTTTTTGCACTCATGCTGTAATGCTGAATCTTAATAAAGATGGGCGCCGCTGCATTGTAAATACATTGCCAAACAATGCAGAAGGCAGGTGTTTATCCTCTCATAAGAAACAAATGTTTAAATCTCTAGTACTAGAGCGACACTTCCGGCCTCCAGTCTGCAATGTGCACAGATATGGATATTGGTTCTTTAATAAATGAAACTCACAATTAAGTGGGATTTAATACTGAGTTAGAACTATTTCACGACACATTGTTTTGTAAAGCTCTGCTTTGGCTGATAAGTGCTGTACAAAGAACGCATAACTTGTATATCTGACTTATTTTTGATGATGTTACCTACGGGAATCTAGCTCAACCATCTCAAGTTTACCATGTTCAAGCCCAATCCAAAGAAATATATAACGCAAGTTCGCCTCTGCCAGCTAAAGTTGTTCACGTTCACTGATGCGTTGAATGTCCAACATCATCACTATATTTAGAAATGAGAAAAACATGTGCTACACTAATTTACATGTGCTACGCCATTTTTAGCAGCAAGAAGATGGCAGCTCGACAGAAATTACATCTCTTCCTGTAAACGCCATGTAGGATCAAAAAACCGTTGTCAGCTGAATGCCCTTTGAGGAAGGATGTTTAACACGCCGCAGTTCTGTTGTCAGTGCGAGATGCAATGCGATATTCATCATGACTGCAGTGAAACTTTGAGTCACTCCTGCTGTATGTGGAGGCGTTATGATGTTCCCTACAAAGACAGCACACTGCGCTCCAGGATGGCTTGATATGAGCAGGTCGTAAATTACATAAATGGGAGAAAGTCTGCTTAGAAACTTGTGAAATCATGTGATTAGCAAGAACAGTGGCATTTGCTTACATTGGATTTCACAATGGACAGAAACAGGAAATTGTAAGGGAAGCTACTGAACTTCTGCCAATAAAACAACTTCCATAAGTACTGGGAGAAAGTCCAAGAACAACAATGCACTAAAACCAAGCTTACAACCTTTCCGTCCGGCCGGAGGGTCCGCAGGTCACGCGATGGATGCTACAAACTCATACTTAAAGCACAACACAAGTGTTTCTTACAAGCTAATGCAAACAAGATAAAAGCTCACGAAGCCAATAAGATTTTATTGAGTTGTCGAAAATATGCAGAGGGAAATAAATCTTATTCAGTTCCTAAAATGATAAAAATGTACCATCCTTAGTGTAATGAATTATGCTAGATACAACGTAGATCTATTTAACATTTAGTTACTATTTAACTAAAAAAATGTACATGCACCGGCCACTTTATTAGGTACAATTGCATGTTAATTGCCAATTGCCAAGCGACGAAGAGCACCTCTCTCTCTTTCTCGCACGCACGCACACCTCTCCCGCGATTTATTCAGAAATTTACTCCCACACCGTAAGAAATCTGTCCGGCTCCCGTGGTACAGCTGCGGGAACGCAGAGAGCTGTAATCGGGCCATAAAAATTAGGCCCGATAGGTCCCGAGTCCGACAGGTACATTTTGATTGACAGCTTTATAAATCCCGAACCCGTTTGCAGCCCGACATTATTCAAATGTGCTCATGCACACAGCTCTATTGCATTTTTTTCAAGAATGAGTCATTTATATGTTTTAACATCATTTATTCGTAACAAACGTAGACTATTGGCCACTTGGCAGTTGGAACAAAGAAATAAAATAAGTCCTACAGCTGTAACATCGTAACATCTCAGCACTCTATATAGGCCTGGGTACATACACTTAGCCTTTAAATTGGCCAACACACCAATGAAAAGAAATCTTGCTTAACAAATCAAATTAAAATAAACTCTAAATGATGCCGGGTATTTTGGCAACAACGAAATTAAGATAAAGGCTGTGCAAGATTTGTTTCTCCACTTCTCTTCACAATCTGGCATTAGGGCGGCTGTGAAGCTGAATATTAAAAGAATAATGCCACCATTAGCCTGTATACTCTGTCTACATTATGATTATATGGTTTAATTAATATTTATTTATAATTTAAAAACCCTTTACTCACCAAGATTAGGCTACGTGTGTTTGTGGAGGAGTTCTGATCCGGCTGATTTTGCAAGTTTTGGGTAGGATTGTTTGTTCATCTTCTACCAGTCAGGAACATCCATTTAATTTTCCATGGCAGCAGTTTCAATGTAGCGAGTGGAGTGGCCTCGTCTTTTTACCTGTCAGCGGTTTAGGGCTCTACCGTAATACGCAGTGTATGAGAACAGCCGAAATGCCTTGGCGGCTGGAATGACTGTTCCTTCTGAGCTAGTGACTGACTTGACCGCCGTCAAAATTAGCTTTTTTTACTACTTCGTCATAATTTGTTTCACCTTTGCAGGGAAGGATTTTAATGCAGGGATTTGGATTTTTTCAGGTCTCGTCGGGTTCGGACAAACATCTTCAGCTCTAATGCAGACCTTTCGTTCATATTAACTACGTCGGAAATACTGCCAAACTGCAGGTCACTTTGGAGCGCGACTCGTCACGTCACGTCATGTCACCTCTCCCCCCTCTCCCTCTCCCCCCCCTCTCTCCCTCTCACTCTCTCCTCCACACTGTCCCGTGATGACAACCACACATACGTTTTTGTAGGCATTAAATAAAGGAGATTTAATATTTTATGACGGTATAAAGGTATTGAAACTGACCCCGTTGCTATTTTAAGATCCCGCGGTATACCATAATACCGTAATACCGCCCAAGTCTAGTAGACATAGTCATAGATGATCTGCTGTAGTTCAAACCGAGCATCAGAATGGGGAAGAAAGCCTTTTTAAGTTACTTTGAATGTGGCATGGTTGATGCCAGACGTACAGTATTTCAGAAACTGCTGATCTACTGGGATTTTCACGCACAACCATCTCTAGGGTTTACAGAGAATGGTTCGAAAAAGAGAAAATACTCAGCAAGCGGCAGTTCTGTGGGTGCCTTGTTGATACCAGAGGTCAGAAGAGAATGGCCAGACTGGTTCGAGCTGATTGAAAGGCAACAGATGGGTTGTACCCATCTTCTGATAGCTAATTCCAGTAGGATAACGCACCATGTCATGAAGCGCAAATCATCTCAGACTAGTTTCTTAAACATGACAATGAGTTCACTGTACTCAAATGGCCTCCACAGTCACCAGATCTCAAGCCAATAAAGCACCTTTTGGATGTGGTGGAACAGGAGATTCGCATCATAGATGTGGAGCCAACAAATCTGCAGCAACTGCGTGATTATATCATGCCAATATGAACCAAAATGTCTGAGGAATTTTCCAGTAGCTTGTTGAATCTATGCCACGAAGGATTAAGGCAGTTCTGAAGGCAAAAGTGGGTCCAACCAGGTACTAGTAAGGTGTACCTAATAAAGTGGCTGGTGAGTGTGTATTTTAATGAAGGAAAAAATTATAATAACCAGCGTTTTTTTGCTGCTAAGATGCGTTTTTAGGACACAACAATTCAGCATGACAACAGCAATAGCTTTAACTTGTACAACTATTTAGTTTGCGCATTTTGCCATTCACATGCAGAAATGATATCAGTGCAAGATTAATGCAAGCATTTATTCAGAACAAAGACGATCTGAACTAAAAGTACAATCAAAATGTATAAATAAAACCATAAAACTACTAGTAGTGTGTGGCAGGACTCTGTATTATTGAACATTTCACTTAATCATGCATTCAAACTATTCGTTCAAAATTGTTGATTCATTTAGAAACTTTAAGTGACTAATAAGAATACGACTGGTTTCATTCTGGATTCGATTTAAAATTTGAATGTGTTTTGCGTGAAGATGGTGAAAAATGACAGCATGTGCAGCACTACTTGAACCGGGGGACTATTTGTTTGATAAATGCAAACAAATATTCAATACGTTTGCATTTATTTTGCAGGACACACCACTCCC